GCAATTCTGCATTTCCTCCCTATACCTTAAGTTAAGGAAAAAACGTTCCCTTCTTTTACACTTCTTGACCTTGGACCTTTGACCCCCAGTTTCGACATCCCAACTTGTTTTCGGATCACCCCCCCCCCACGTCCCATATATCGTGACCGTATGTAGAGCCGTTAAGATTTGTGCCTAACTGTTGACGCACGGACGGACGGCCGGACGGACGGACGAACGCACGAACAATCATGCAATTCTACAAGCTGCAGTTGACTACATCAGATGAGCTAACAAAACGAAACAAAATAAAAAACACATGGCCGTCAGTCGCTGCCCTCGCCGCGAATTTTTTTTTCCCATTTGCGTTCCGGACCCACCATAGATAGTGTTTTGTAATATATGGTTTGTATACATATGGTTGGATTATAGTTATTATTAGGATTCGGGTACGGGTTAGGGTTAGGGTTAGGGATAGAGAGTATTCATTTTATATTGTTGCTTTGAGGAAGTCGAGTGAATGGAGTGCGCTGATTGGCTGTGGTCCGGAACTCAAGTGGGAAAAAAATTCCGCTCCCTCGCCCCCGCACCTTGCTGATGCTGGTGTCGCCGGACAGGCCGCCGCGCCACAGGTTGTTGAGCACGTCCTGGCAGGCGGCGGTCGACATGAAGTCAAAGCTGTAAGAGCTGTGGGCGAGAGCAAGGCACGTGGCGCCGCCAAACTGTGGTGTCTCGCTGACGAGCAGCTCCAGCGTCTTCTTCTCGTCTGTCTTGTAGCACTGCGTTAGCGTGCCGACGGCCAGCTTCTCAAATTTACTGCAGAGATAAGCGTCTACTAGCAACTACTATCTATAGCAACGAGTCTCAAAGTTACTGCAGAGATATAAGCACCTACTAGCAACTACTAACCAGAGAGACCGGATACAAGATGGCCTTGCGCAAAAGATGCGTTGTTCCCCGACCGCCGAAAGTGGTTAAGCCGCGCACTTCCGCGGGACTGGGCGCACGCGACCGCGGGATACCCCGCTATACGCATTCGCGCGCCGAAGGAAGGCGGGTGCGCGAATGCGTATAGCGGGCAGCCTACACTGCACTGTACTTGCAGCGTTTAAATAAAATGTAATGCTAAATAAATACAAGATCTATTTACTACGAAAGTCACGGCGGCGCAAAAACTCCCCGAGCCAGCTCCACGTGAGCGCGGGGGAGGAGGGAGGCTGGAATGTGCCGCTCCGCCGTCTTCCTAAAAACATGTGAAAATAAAAAAACATATATATTTGTGTGTGAGTGTGGCGGCGTGCAGTGCGCAGTGCAGTGCAGTTCTCAGTCTA